AAGTGCTTCTCATGAAGAGCATGGCTAGAAGAGTAGACCAAAATGTCATCAATAAAGACAACCACAAACTGGTCCAGGTACTTGCTGAACACCCGATTCATCAAATCCATAAATCTGGCGGGGGCATTTGTTAAGCCAAATGGCATGACTATGAACTCATAATGACCATAACGGGTGCGAAAGGCAGTCTTTGGCACATCATCCGGTTTAATCTTCACCTGGTGGTAGCCAGATCGAAGATCAATCTTAGAAAATACCTGAGCACCCTTGAGCTGGTCAAACAAGTCATCAATTCTAGGAAGGGGATACCGGTTCTTCATAGTCACCTTATTCAATTCCCGGTAATCAATGCAAAGCCTCATGCTCCCATCCTTCTTCTTGACAAACAACATTGGAGCTCCCCAAGGTGATACACTAGGGCGTATAAACCCTTTCTCAAGGAGTTCCTCCAGCTGGACCTTTAACTCCTTCAATTCTGCGGGAGCCATACGGTATGGTGCTTTGGAAACGGGTCCGGTGCCAGGAACAAGGTCAATAGCAAATTCAACCTCTCTATCCGGTGGTAAACCTGGGAGATCCTCCGGAAATACATCCGGAAACTCACGCACCACCGGTATGTCTTCTAGTCTCGATGTCACACTACTAGCATCAGTAACAGAGACTAGGAAGCCCTGGCAACCATTTACAAGATATTTCTGAGCCTGCAAGGCAGATACTAACACGAGTAGAGCAAAAGAACCACTGCCTTGAAAACTAAATTCTGACTCACCAGGAATATTAAAATTTACCCATTTCCGATGACAGTCTATAGAGGCAAAGTGCTTAGACAGCCAATCCATCCCCAAAATGATATCACAATCGGAGATATCTAAAACAAACAAACTAGCACTCAACTGTCTACCATCAACATAAATATCCACAGTCCTACACACCTCCCTAGTAGTCATCACCCCTCCTAAAGGGGTGTCCACATGCAGTTCACAATCAGAGATATCAACAGGCAAAGCTCGTTTCAAAACATAGGATTGAGCAATAAAAGAATGCGATGCACCCGAATCAAATAAAACATGTGCATAATCAGAGTTAACAGGCAAGGTACCCGTGATTACGTCAGTAGCCGCAGCTTCCTTGTGAGTCATCACTTGCGCTCTCGCCTGTTGGGCTCTTATCCGAACCCCAGTACTCTGTTTCTGCGCCCCCTGACTGGTAGAACCCTGCGGAGAGGTAGGTTGAATGCCCTGAGTCTTGGGGTCTAGCAGTGGACAATTTGCAATCCGGCGTCCCTGCTTGCCACATTTGAAGCAAGCCCCAGTAGCAATGTGGCATTGATCCCGGGTGTGCTCGACCTTCCCACAAACATGGCAAATAGGCTGAGTAGGACGAGCACGTGGGGCCGATGATGCCTGACTCACTGTCTTGGTGGCTCCTGACCATCTAGAGCCCTTGCTGATCTCAGATCTAGGTGGTGTAAGGAAAAGGGACCGATGGCTCCCATCAAACTTCCTCTTCCCAAGGGATGACCCACCACTAGGCTGCCCTGAGGGCTTGACTCTAGCCATAGCCTTCTCCTGATCTATGGCTCTGTCCGCAGCCTCTCGATAAGTGGTGGGTTTAAATTGGTTTACCGCCAAGTAAATGTCAGAATTCAAGCCCCACAGAAATTTGTCGGCTTTGGCTTGCTCATCGCCAACTTGGCCACCCACAAATGGCAGATAGCGGTCAAATTCCTCCTTGTACTGCTCAACAGTACCTGGCCCTTGCTTTAAATCTGCAAATTCTCTTTGCAGTTCTCGCTTTTTGCTATCCGGTATGTACTCTCGCATGAACACCTTCTTAAAACCATCCCAGGTGCTCAATTCAGGCTCTCCCTGGTGTAGCTTCCGATAACTCTCCCACCAAGTTAATGCCTTCCCAGTAAGTATGTAGGTGCCTACATTGACCTTAAGGTTATCGGAAACATGCAGCAGGTAGAATCCCCGCTCCACCTCGGAAATCCATGATTCCACCTGCTCAAAACCTGCAGTACCATCGAATCCCTTGTTCTTCATCAACTTCTGGAATTCGGTATAAATCTTCCAGGTAGGTACAGCAGGAGCA